CTCCCCTCCCCTCCCCTCCCACTTTCTCACTCTCTCACACACATACACACATTCAGGAGAGAAGTTTTGCTTGTCTTTACCACACCCCACGAGAAGGGTTCAGCAGTACCCCTGGAAAGTATGATGTGTGTTCTCCGAAGTTGGGAGTTGAGTACCTAACCCATCTCCATAGACAAAGATAAAAGATCCAAGGCAGAATGGCTAACTTCTGATGGATTTTTTCCAAGAAGAAATGACTGGACAGTGGGGTGTTCTGCAGGGAGCATGCCTCTAGAGTAAGTTTACTGACTCAGATGTGGGGCATGAGAGAAAAGTAAGCAAGGAACCCTGACTGTGTATCCGGGCAGGGCACAGTGTGGCCTGGAAACCTTCCTGGAGGATGAACAGATGTCAGTGAGGAGGACGTAACTAGAGGTTACATCTAGCTGTAGCTAGAGGTCTAAACACTGAGGTGATAACTGACAGGTGAGCAGCTCAATCAAATGTCCCAGGTTTTCTTCAGGAGAAAAGGCTTAGAGATCTGCTTCTGCGAGATTACCCTCATTGCTGTCACACTAAGTCTCTGACTCTTAGCAACACTGTAGGACAGCAACACTGTAGGACAGCAACACTGTTGGACAGCAATGCTGTTGCATAGCAACACTGTAGGACAGTAATACTGTCAGACAGCAACACTGTCAGAAAGTAACACTTTAGGACAATAACACTGTAGGACAGAAACACTGTAAGACAGTAACACTGTAAAACAGTAACACTGCTGACAGCAATCCTCTCATCAAGTAACACTGTAAGACAGCAACCCTGTAGGACACTAACGCTGTAGGACAGTGACATTGTCAGAAAGTAACACTGTAGGAAAACAAACCGACCCTCTTTAGTACAGTAACACTGTCAGACAACCCTGCAGGACAGTAACACTGTTGGACAACAAACACTGTCAGACACAACACTGTCAGACAGACTAGAAATGTCTCATAGTATCCACAATGGTGAATCTTGAAGAGGCAGATTGCCTTATCTTTCTCCTGAGGAGAAGCAATGGGTGAGAAACAGGAAACTTTTGGTTAACAGTCAATTACTTTAATCACCGTGCCACCAAAACGTCTTCCACTAAAAATCACTCACTAGTGTTGGGATCTCTGGTGGCCTAGTGTCAAGTAGCTATAATGCAATCCCAAGGGCATGTGGTTCAAGTTCACCAGCCACTCTGTGAGAGAAGGACGGGCAATCTCATCCCATGTGATTAACTACCTCTGAAAACCTGCTTGGAGAGTCAGCTATGGGTCAGTTGTGACTCAATGCTACAGAGCAAGAAACTAACAATAGCAATATTGAGGTCATTTCAACTCACAGTGATCCTCCTCCTGGTTTCTGAGGCTGTAAGCCTTGACAGTGACTGTTTCATCCTTCTCCATGGAATGGCTAGTGCATTCGAACCACATACACTTTGATTTGGAGCCCAACATGTAACATACTACATGACCAAGGCTTCTTCTCACAAAGGTTCTCAAAATGATCGCTGACCAGTCGGAATTGACTCATAATTGACATTTTGATGTGTAAATCATACATCTTTGTCCCTCGGAGCCACTGATAGATTTGAACACCAGAAAGGCATGATCATTGAGTTTGCAGCATGATTCCAGTGGCCAAAAGAAACTGGCCTGCTATTGTTCCTTGGCCTCCCACGCTAATGGCATCCAGGTCTCCTGCTCAGCTCTGTTCCACACTGTCCTGCTTGGTGGTTCCTATGGACATGTCCCATCAGAGGGACTTCAGAGACAAAGTGGTGACCCCTCCAAATCCAATTATGGAGTAGATGAAAGAGGAAAACATCATATCAACATCAAGTCAATTCCATCAAGTTGATTCTGAATCACAGTCACACTTTAGACGATGTAGAAGTGATCAGCGGCTTTCAGAAGTCCACTGCCACACCTTTCTCTGTTATGCCACTGGTGGGTTCCAACTATCGATCTTTCAGTTACCAGCCCACCTAACCAGTGCACAACCAAGGCTCTTTACTGTCAAAGCTAACTCATTACTGACCCTCCAGTGGGTTTTTCAGAGGCAGTAAATCGCATGGGAGGAGACTGCACATCTTTCTCCCATGGAGCAGACTGTGGATTTGAACCATGTGCTTTTGGGATTAAAACTCAGCTTCTTACCACTAAGCCACTACCTAGAGCTCTAAACACTGCCAAATGATTCTGATGCACGGTGATCCTTTATCATATTTCCCAAGCTATAACATTTTGTGAGAAGATTGCCTTATTTTTCCCCCTGTACAGCCAATTAGATGGTAGATTTGAACCTACAACCATTTTGTTAGTAGTATAACATGTAACATACTATACCACAAAAGCTCCTTTTAATATTACCAGTCATCATAAAAGGGGCTTCTGTTCCTGTCTAGAGATAGAGTAGTTCACGACAGAAAGCAGTTGATAATCTCAAAATTTAGAAAGGGAAAAATCTTACGATAAACTTGGAGTTTCAAAGACATCATTTTGGATGTACAAGGAATTCTAAAGATGTTAATATTTTAAGTTTCATATATGACTTTGTTCTAACTCAATGTAATGAGTTCAGTTTGCTGTTGATGTCATACAGTCTTAAGTTCTACATGCTTTCTTGGAAATATTGTGATGATGATGATGGTGATGATGGTGATGTTGATGCTGCTATACTGAGGATAGCCAGGAAATCAAAAAGCGTATTGTGATGGGAAAGTCTGCTGTTGGGGACCTCTCC